AAATTGATCCAGTCCTAAAGAGAAACAGCTCACACAAAGGTGATCTCAGCACTTGGGATCACATGCTTTTAATCCCAGGATTTGAGAGGTTTAAAAGGAAGAAGTAAAGTCAGTCTTAGAGATTTATTCTCTAGCCACACTAAGGACAGGACAGTCCTTTCAGCCTGAGGCAGAAGTAAGAGCTAGTGACCGGCTGCTTTGCTTTTCTGATCTTCAGCTTGAGCCCCAATACCTGTCTCTGGATTTTTATTATTTGTGTTATAGTTTAGAGCACTTAAAAGAACAGCAAGGGCCCTAAATGTCTGAGCCCTATCTCCAGCTGCCAGTGTTAGTAGCTTTAGCACTATCATTTCAGTTCACTGACATCTGGTATTCTAACAAACCACTCAACAAAAATGAAAAGAAAAATGTCACAGGAGGCAATCATTCATTCTATAAATCCTACAAAGGATCATGGACTATGTGGTACATATAAAGATATAGAGATATAAAAAGAGCTAGCTCCTATCCTCAAAATTTTTAATTAATAAAACCAGAACTGTTTAAGTCAAATGCTATAGACACACTGAAGAAAGGAGAAGCAATTCTGTCTCAATGCAGAAGACAATGTTATCACTGAAGTCATACTCAGGAGTCAGGTTTTTCTACCAAGCAAAGGAAAGAAATGAACAGGATATTTCAGCAAGATTGAAAGCCAAAGCCAGGCGGTGGTGGTGTACAACTTTAATCCCAGCATTTGGGAGGTAGAGGCAGGCTGATCTCTGTGAGTTTGAGGCCAGCCTGGTCTACAGAGCTAGTTCCAGGACAGTCTCCAAAGCTACAGAGAAACCCCGACTCGAAAAAAAAAACAAACAAACAACAAAACAAAAAGATGCTGTATAGTTCATTTCATTTTGAGTCCATGAGTCAAGGCGGCACCTGGAAAACTTCTCAGTAAGAGTGTTCGCTATTCAAGCATGAAGGCCTGAGTTCAAATCCTCAGCATGCTTATAAAAAGCCAGGCATGGCCATGTTCACCTGTATTCCTCCTGGAATGCTTGGAAAGGATGTAGTTTACAACCTGGCGATCCCTTTCTATCTGTAGAGCCAGGCCTTACCTGTATTCTCCAGAATTTATGTGTTGTTTATCCAGACCTTCTCCCGGTAAGCATTAAGCAATTGCTTCTAAATCCATTAAACCCTTCCTTGTGAGAGATGTCACCTGTACTTTACAACAACCTAAGTGACTTCTATATTATCTTAAGGCCTGTCTCTAAAAAACAAAAACAAAGATGATGACATGTTTCTTACTCCATTTAGGCAAGGAATGGCACTACTTTCAAATGACCTTAACCATAGCATAGGATAGAGGGCAACCCAGCTAACTTAATACATACAATCTTCCCAAGGAGTTGGTAAGGAAAGTATTTCTATTTCACCTTGGGTTCATAAGAGATGCAAGGCTGATCAGAGTAGATTAGAAATGACCAGCTGTTGAGCCAGGCAGTGGTAATACACACCTTTAATCCCAGCAGCTGGGAGGCAGAGGCAGGAGAATCTCTGTGAATTTGAGGGCAACCTAGTCTACATGGGTAGTTCCAGGACAGCTAGAGCTATTACAAAGAAACCCTGTCTCTGAAAAGAGGAAAGAAAAGGAAGACACACACCAAACCACACACACACAGACACACACACACACACACACACACACACACACACACACACACACACACACACACACACAGGAAAAAAACTACTAAAAAGAAGTAACATTGGGTCCTCCCTTTTATCCTCCAGAGTGACAAGCAGTGCTAGAGAGAGAACAATGGGCTCAAACTAATCAGGATTACCCAGCCTCCTGCAACCAACCCTGCAGCACTCTAGTTCTGCTTCACTGTTGCCAAGAACTTGTGATCACTGACTACCACTGCTGACATGGTGCTTATTTTTAGAAGCCAATTATTAACTAAGTCAATGGTACTTTTGTGATGGCTTTCTACAGAGAGACAAATGCTTTATGAAAATAATAGCTTAAAAGCTTTTACTGCCTCAAAACCATCAATTCGAACTCCCTGCTCCCTGGTTGCTCAGCTACGAACTGAGCAGAAATCCTCCTCACTGCAGACAAGAGCAGTCTGTTCTGTCTGGTAAGGGAGCATCCTATCCCCTTGGTTCTCAAAATTCAGACTTATTTCTAAGGAAGGTGAGTCCCTGACTGAATGCTTCAGAAAAAGGATAGTGCATGCAGATGACACAAACTGACTTTAAAATGCATCTCAAAAAGCATTTTAGCAAAGAATAGATGGACAATGGTTAGTAAAGCAAATACGTGGCAAAATGCTAGCAGCAGAATTGAGGTGGTCATTACTATAAAGTCCTTCACCTTTCTCTATGCTTGGAAATTGTCTTAATCACTGTTGGAAATACATGTTAATGACATAGACTGCTAAACAGACTGTGAAAGTGGAGACCAAAAGCCTTTATAAGTTGAGATGTGACCACAGAGCAGAGTTCTTCATATGATCCAAGTGGCAGCAAGAAGCCAGTTTTTGCTGTAAGGGGCTCTGATGCAGAAGTACCTGTCAGAGACCAAGGAAGGATGACGAGAGTTCAGGGCTGACTCTTGTGGTTGCATGGACTTCCAGAAACAGCTGCTTGCTACAGAGTTCTGTCTAGATCCTTGGGCTGTTCTGAATTTTCCCCTAGTAAAAACACTGTTCTAGAAGTACAGCACAGTGGCACAGCCCTTACCCCAGCATGGACCAAACACTGAATTCTATCAACAGCACCACAAGGAGAAAAAAAATGACAAAACGAAATGAAAGAAAGAAAAGGTACTGTTCTTCCTTACAATGACTGATGGCCTTGTTGCTGCTTCCAAGGCTCTCTCCCTCCAAGCCCCAGTCCTAACCATGGCCCATTAGATCATTATCAATGTTTGAGGCTTAACCTTAGCCCCAGAAGCAAGCAAGTCCCTGGAGAGGAGCTCATCCAACAATTTCCCTGCTGAGAAGCAGAATCCCGCAAATATAGCACTTGTGCAGAGAGGACAGTATGAAACCAAAGGAAGCAGACCTGCTTAGCTCTGGCACTCATCTTTGTGATTTAAGCCCATTATGAAACCTCCAGGGCCTTACTCTCTCAACCTGCCAGCTGAAGGAATTGACAATCCATCCCACACGATGGGGGTGACAATATTAATAAATTACATAATGTGAAAAGGATTTGGTAAGTGACAAACAAGTTGAAAGCTACTTGCTATTATAACTGGTCATACCACCACCCACCTTCCATTTATTTCTTTAGCTAGACCTAAGCGGACAAAAGGCTACTCTGGCCCTTCCTCGTTCTGGCTTATCAGTACCGCCCAACTTCTCTTCTTCCCTTTCTAGTTGTTAAGACATCTTAGGCCATTTAGACATCTATCTGCACCAAAACTCTTTTTGGGTTAGAACCAAAAAAAGACCAACAACACAAGAGTATAAGAAATCCAAGCCAGGAGGCTGGAGAGATGGCTCAGCGGTTAAGAGCACTGACTGCTCTTCCAGAGGTCCTGAGTTCAATTCCCAGCAACCACATTGTGGCTCAGAAACATCCGTTATGAGATCTGGTGCCCTCTTCTGGTGTGCAGATATACATGGAAGCAGAATGTTAAAAAAAGAAATCCAAGCCAGGCAGTAGTGGCACATGCCTTTCATCCCAGAACTCCGGAGGCAGAGGCAGGCAGATCTCTCTGTGAGTTCGAGACCAGCCTGGTCTACAAGAGCTAGTTTCAGGACAGCCTCCAAAGCCACAGAGAAACCCTGTCTCAAAAAATAAAAAAGAAAAACAAACAAGAAATCCAAAAGCATCAGGCACAGTGGCACAAAGCTGTCATCCCAGTAAGAAAGACACAGAGGCAGGAGGAACACTGCAAATTCAAAGCCAGCTTGATCTAAATAGTAACTTACAAGCTACCCAGGGTTACATGAAAGATCCCTCTTTAAAAAAAAAAAAAAAAGGGCTGGAGAGATGGCTCAGCTGTTAAGAGCACTGAATCTTCTTCCTAGAGGATCCAGGTTCAATTCCCGGCACCCACATGGCAGCTTTAAAAAAAAAAAAGAAAAAGGGAAAGAGAAAGAAAAGTAGTAGTAATAGTTCTGCCAGGCTTGGTTGGTTATGCAGCCTTTAATCCCAGAAATCAGAAGGCAGAGGCAGGCAGGTCTCTGAATTCCAGGCCAAC